TTCTTCCTGCTCTGTAGACAATTGTAGACACCAAATTCAATGGCTGTTTCCCCAGCCCCAGACTCCTTGACAATTCTGTAGATTTAGCATTGCCAATCAATTTCTTTCTCCCTCTGTTCTGAGACTGGCTCCTGCCCCTAACCTGGTCCTACCTACAACTTTTCTGTGCCCACCAGCTGTGTGTTTTCCTCCCAAGAGCGTGCCTTAGCTCCATACTGTTCCTTTCTGCAATTGCTTGTTGTGGGTGATTCCCCATGATTTCAAAGATCTCCCCTCTATGGATGACTCTCAGATCTATAGCCCAGACCCCTGAAACTTAAGTTGGATCTGTTGCTGGAAACAACTACATGGGCCTCTCCTCGTAGTCTAGGTCACAGAACGGTGACCTCAGACCATTTGGATTTATTATCTGGCAGCTCCTTGCTTCGAAAGAGACTGTTTTAGCAAACAAGGTAGAAGCTCTAGCACCTTATAGCATTGGACGTCATCTCCTTTCATTTTTCCCATGTTCTATCAGTTATATATAATGGCCTCAGGGGAGGGGAATTAGACTCTACCTCTGGAAAGGGTAATGGCAAGGTTCTAGAAGAGTATGTTGGATGGACAATATTGGTGTTGCCATTTTTAGAAAAATACAATCTGTGGCAATGGATCAACCAGTATTTGTTACATACTAAACTTGTTTCTGGCTAAACTCCTCACTCCTTCCCCCCCCCGACATGATTTTTATTATTAACTTCTCTGTTTCTATCAATGATACAATAAGGGTGAAACTTTGTTATTATCCCTGACTAGAGTGGGCATCAGTCTACTCTTGTAACTTTAAAACCATAATCTAGGGGCGCCTGGGTGGCTCAGTCGTTAGGCGTCTGCCTTCAGCTCATCTGCCTTCCGCTCAGGTGGTGATCCCAGCCTCCTGGGCTCGAGCCTTGCGTCGGGCTCCCTGCTCCGTGGAAAGCCTGCTTCTCCCTCTCCCTCTGCCCCTGTTTGTGTTCCCTCTTTGGCTGTGTCTCTCTCTGTCAAATAAATTTTAAAAAACTTTTAAAAAAACAAACAAACCACTATCTAATGAAACACTGGAAAGACAGAGTGAATACCAGAAGGGGAAGGCACCCTTCCTGAGAAGTAGATAATCAAGAATTGCTTTGATTCTGTAGGTATCTGTATGCCGGGACAATGCCAGCTGCTGAGGATGTGAAGTCAAATACTCCTTCCCCCCTCCTCCTCCTTCTCTTCTTCCCTTTAATTTGGTTCCTGCTCTCTAGAAGCTTTTACTTTGGGGCTAAAAATGTGGCTAAGGCACTCTGAAAAAACAGTTTCACAGTTTCTGATAAAGTTAAAAACACCACATGACCACCAATCTCATTCTGAGGTATTTATCCAAGTGAAATAAAAACCTAAGTTCATACAAATACCTGCTTGTGAATATTTATAATGGTTTTATTAATAATCTCCCCAAACTGAAAACAACCCAAATGTCCCTCAGCAGGGGAATGGATAAGCAAATACATAGAATGAAATGCTACTCATGAAGAGAAGGAGAAGGAGGAGGAGAAGGAGGAGGAGGAGGAGAAAGTACTTAAACAAGCAACAGTATGGCTGAATCTTAAGTGCATTATGCTAAGGGAAAAGAAGCCAGCCTCAATAGGCTACATACTCTATGTTTTTATTTATATGATATTATAAGGCAAAACTATAAGGACAGAAAACATAACAGTGGTTTAAGGGCCAAGAGTGGGGGTTAGTGCTGACTACAAAGAGTTATTGAGGGGACTCTAGTGGATGGTGGGACTATTTTGTACCTCAGTTTTAGTGGTATTACACACACCTATATGCACTTGTCAAAAGTTGCAGAATGGCCACGAAAAATGCTGCATTTTACTGTATATAAATTATACCTTAAGTATATATATATTTAAATTATATCTTACATATATAAATTTTATATATAAAATAAAATTTAAATATATATAAAATTACAGGCACAGGTGGCACAGCATGAGAGAGGTGGATGTTGCATGGCGAGCTGGTTAGGGACATGGGCTCAGTAATCAGTCAGCCTGGGCTAGAAAGTCCTGGCTGAGATTTGGAGAAGGTAAGCACTTCTTCCAGGTGCCTGGTTGGCTTTTTTAGTGCTCCAAAGTGCCATCCCCAGGATTACAAGAGAGAATGAAAGTAAAGCCCCTAATGAGGTGGTTAGCACGTAACAAGCATTAGTATTGCTTTTTTTCTTAAAAATAACAGCTCAAGGGGTGAGGTCTGTGGTCTAAGGGAGGGGATTAAAAAAAGCTTCACAGAGGTAATAACATATGATTTAGGCTTTTATTTAAAGATTTTATTTATTTATTTGACACAGAGAGAGCACAAGACACACACACAGCGAGAGAAGGAACACAAGCAGGGGGAGAGGGAGAAGCAGACTCCCCACTGCAGGGCTCCATCCCAGGACCCTGGGATCACGACCTGAGCCAAAGGCAGGTGCTTAACAACTGAGCCACCCAGGCGCCCCTGATTTAGGCTTTTAAAGATGAGCAGGAGTTATGCAGGTTGGCAACAAGTGGGGTAAATGTTGGGAAAGACATTGTAACAAGAGGGAATAGCATGTGCAAAGGCTAAAACAGAATGGCATATTTGAGGACCTTTATTATTTATTTTTTATTTTTTAAGATTTTATTTATTTATTTGACAGAGAGTGACACAGCGAGAGAGGGAACACAAGCAGGGGGAGTGGGAAAGGGAGAAGTAGGCTTCCCGCTGAGCAGGGAGCCCGATTCGGGGCTTGATCCCTGGACCCTGGGATCATGACCTGAGCCGAAGGCAGACGCTTAACGACTGAGCCACTCAGGCACCCCTGAGGACCTTTATTTTTGAAAAGATTTTATTTATGTATGTATGTATGTATGTATGTATTTGTTTATTGATTTATTTATTCATTTGAGAGAGAGCGAGCGAGCTGGGATGGGGGGAGGAGCAGAGGGAGAGTGACAAGCAGACTCAATGCTGAGCGTGGAGCCTGATGGGGGCTCAATCCCCTGATCTGAGCCAAAATCAAGAGTGGGATGCCTAGGGTGCCTGGGTGGCTCATTCAGCTAAGTGTCTGCCTTTGGCTCAGGTCATGATCCCAGGGTCCTGGGATTGAGTCCCAAGGCAGGCTCCCTGCTCAGTGGGAAGTCCCTCCCCCTGCTCGTGCTCTCTCTCTAATAAATAAATACACAAATAAATAAATAAATAAATAAAATCTTAAGAAAAAAAAAGAGTGGGATGCCTAACCAACTGAGCCCACCAGGCACCTCTGAGGACCTTTAAATATGGGCATATCTGAAGCAATAAGTTCAGGAGAAAAATGAAGGGGAAGGGGATGATATGGGTCTAGAGTTCAGCAGAATGAGATTGTGAAGGGTCCGTTTGAGATTCTGCATTTCTAACAAGCTTCCAAGTAATGCTAATGCTACTGGTTCATTGACCACATTTTAAGCAGCAAGGACATAAAGATCAAGGGAATCAAGTGTTGCAGATAATAGGGAGTGGTCAATCACACTGAAGATAGGAAAGCCCTAAGTCAAGATCAGGACTGAAAAACTCCAGTTATCAGTTTGTAGGTTGAGGTATCTAAGAGCAAGCATTAGAATAGAAGCCACATTGGAGTAGTTGATGATTGCTTGCGGGGTATGGAAATTGGGTGAGTATAAATAACTCTTTTGTGTAGTTTGGCTTTGAAAGGGAACAGAGAGGTAGGGAGGCGGTTGCAGGGGGAATTGTAGTTTTTACTATTAACTTTTAAGATGGAAGACCTTTGAGTATTTTATTTATTTTATTATTATGTTATGTTAATCACCATACATTACCTCATTAGTTTTTGATGCAGTGTTCCATGATTCATTGTTTGTGTATAACACCCAGTGCTCCATGTAGAACTTGCCCTCCTTAATACTCATCACCAGGCTAACCCATCCCCCTCAACCCCCTTGAGTATTTTATTTTTTACTTTTTCAAGTAAGCTCTATATCCAACATGGAGCTTGAATTCACAACCCTGAGATCACAAGTTGCATGCTCTACCAATTGAGCCAGCCAGCTCAACTTTTGAGTATTTTAAAAAACTGTTGAGGTGCGCCTGGGTGGCTCAGTCAGTTAAGCGAGGGACTAGATCTTAGCTCAGGTCTTGATCTCAGGGTCATGAGTTCAAGCCCCTCCTTGGGCTCCATGCTGGGTATGGAGCCTACTTAAAAAAAAAAAAACTGTTGAGAAGGATCCTATAAAAAAGGGAGAGGTTGGATACACGAGGAAGAATGGGATGACCTGAGAAGGGTTGAGTTGTCAGATATAGAGATAAAAATATAGGATACCCAGTTAAATCCGAATTTCAGAAAAACGAGTAACTTTTCAGTGTAAATATGTCCCCAATATTTCTGGGCGTCCTGTATCTTACCTGCCAACCCCCAGAAGGGAGATTTTTAGGCAAAAGGGTTATAGCCCCTGATATGGTACCAGGAGGGGGTCGGAGTTGTGTAGTCCTCAGCTGTCACATTTCAAGACTCTAGAATGAGTTTCCAGTTCTACCAGAACCGTTAACAAGTAGAGACACTGCTTTAAATTTCAGCTTTTGTCGTTTCACCATTTTCTCTAGAATGGCAAACAGGCAGGAAAATGCTGGGTGAAAAGCTGTGGAAAAGTTCTACTGTTGAAAATCAGCTCGTAAATGATGAAGAGCTTTTTGAACTGCGAACGGGCTCTGGATTGGGTGCATAGGACGGTGAGTCACAGGGTGTCTGGCCGAGGTCCAGCTTTGCACTCCAACTCTACTCAACTCAAGGGCAGGCAGGGAGCCCCATCCCAGGGACCCGCAGGCGCCTGCGCCCTGCCCCAGCCCCGCCCCCTCCTAGCCCGGCATCCGGGGCTCAGGCAGGGGCGTGTCCGGGGAGGAGGGGCGGGGGGCAGCGGAAAGGAAGGATGTCGTGGGAGGCTGGATAAGCGGGTAGGGAGGCGAGGCGGGGCGGGGGCGGAGCAAGGGGCGTGACGGAACGAGCGCGCTGTCACGTGATGTGCGTGGCGACGTGTCGGCCATCTTGTGTTGTTGAGGCTGAGGACTGACTTGGGTTCTGAGACTCTCTGTCCCGGACCGCAGGTAACCAGCGACTCCGTCTCTCCCCCCTGCCCGGCTCCGCTTCGCGCCCCGACTCCGCCGTCTCCCGCCACCCCACACGGAGCCGCCGGGGCCTCCCGCCCGCGCTCGCGTCCTCGCCGCTCCTGCCCGACCCGGCCCAGCCGCATGGACACCCACAGGCCGCCCCGGCAGCGGCTGCGGCCGGCTCGGGCGTCAGGCGAGGGGACAGGTCAGGTGCGGGGCCGGAGGGAGCCTCCTCCCCGGCGGGGGGCACGCCGGGCCCGGGCGCGTCTCGGCCGCCGAGCCGGGGAGCCCCCTCCTCCAGGGCCCGTTGACATCGCGGGGGGGGTCGAGGAAGGGAAGAGGGTGGTGGGGTGGGCAGTGTCAGGCCGATTTGCTCAGGGCTAGAGGGTTTCCCTTCTGCTACCTGCTCCCCGGGCCGGCCACCCGCCCAGCAAGGGGGTGCCCGGGATAACAGCTGCTTCGGCCAGACAGCTGCTCCTGCCGGTCCTCCTCCCCACACCTGGCCTCCGGGAGGTGCGCCTTTGCCTTCCTGACCGAGCATCTGCACTGGGGAGACTCCTTCCGTGGCGAAAGGATTGGGTCTGGACCAGGCCTGAGGCAAGGTGGAGCCATGATCTGAACCTGGGACAAGGTTGGGAAAGTCAAGCCCGAGGCAGCTTTGGGACCCGAACATTCACGTCAGGTTGAAATGGGCATTAGTCTTTACGTGTCAGCAGTTTCCCACGAAGCACTTTGAATACTTTAGTTTTGTGACTGAAACATAAGTCAGATTTATGTTTTCGACCACAGAAGGGTGTATGAAAGCAGCAGCTTGTATGATCGTGTTTGGGAAGCAATAACGTTGATTTGCATTTATGTAGCACTGTGTTTTGTTTTTTTCCTTTCCCTGAAAGTCAGAGCACTTAAGCACACCTAGTTTCTCTGTAAGGAAGGTAAGTATTCCAGTTAAACTTACAAGAAATTGAGGATGGGGCCGGAAGCTGTGAACAGTTTCTTATCCAGTGTTACATATCTTGAATTATAGGCAGTTTGGATTCCCAGTGTTGTGTGCAGGGAAGATGTTCTCTCCTGTAGTATTTCCTTTTTAGAATCTAATGATTTCTTAGATTTCAAACAATTTCCTCTTGTCAGTCGTTTCTGTACATTAACTTTCATCCATCTAATATTTGCAGTTCTAGCCTTACAGAGTTTGTTCATTTTGGTTAGAGCACAAATGTGTTCCCTCATTTATTGATGATTTTATGTGTTTTACCAGTTAGTGTACCAGATTTTGGAGTGCTCAAACTGGATGGAATATGTGCTTTTCTTGTTACATCAGATGTTGACATCAGTAGAGGACACCAGGAAAAAAATTTAGAAGTTGCATGTATCTGGAAAAATGTCACACAGTTCTTCCTTTACATCACCATTGAGTACACTGGTAATGGTAGTGATTTATTGGGAAAGGGCTTTACACCTTTTCTATACTTGACAGCATTTTAGGATTTTGAGACTGAGGAGGAAGAAGGGACTATGTACTTCCATTTATTCATTCATTCATGCATTCATTTATTTGACAACTATTGAGACTCTACTACACTCTTGGGTGCTGGGAGCAAAACAGACCAAAAATTCCTTTCTCAGTGGAGCTCATTTCTACACAGATAAATAAAAGCTCAGATAAAATACATAGTGTTGTGGTGAATGATGTGGAAAAAAAAATGAGACAGGGGAAATAGGATGTTAGGGATTTGGGGGTTAATTTGTGTGGGGGGGTGTTAATTTTAAGTAGAGTGCCCTGGGAAGGCTGCATAGAGAAGCTTATGTTTGAGGAAGGACCTGACACCGGTAAAGGAGCAATTCCTGTAAGTATATGGAGAAGGAATGCTCCAGACTAGGGAAGCTAGGGCAAAGATAACTGAGGCAAAAACTGAAGTGGGAGCGGGTCAGGTGCTGGGAAAAATATGGAGGCTAGCTTAGCCAGAGAGGCACAAGCGAGAGGGAGGCCAGTAGAACCTGTGTACCTTACTCATTGGTACTAAGATGAGAGGGGTTATTCAGTGACTTAGAAATTTTTTCCACACCTCTTGTGACTATTAGAAAGGGAGATCAGATTCTGGAGATTTGGGCCAGTATGACCAAATCGCCTTCCCTCCATATGACACGCTCCACCCCAGTTTGGAAAAATTCAGGCTGCTCATATAACATATCTCAGGAAATTGTCATGAAATACCTTCTTAAACTTTAATTTTTTAAAGATTTTATTTATTCATGAGAGAGAGGCAGAGGGAGAAGCAGGCTCGCCAAGGAGCAGGGAGCCCGATGCGGGACTTGATCCCAGGACCCCAGGATCATGACCTGAGCCGAAGGCAGACGCTTAACCGTCTGAGCCACCCAGGCGCCCCGTTTCTTAAACTTTTTTTTTTTTTTAAAGATTTTATTTATTTATTTGACAGAGAGATAGACAGAAGAGCACAAGCAGAGGGAGTGGCAGAGGGAGAGGGAGAAGCAGGCTCTGCACCGAGCAGGGAACCCGATGCGGGACTCGATCCCAGGACCCCGAGATCATGACCTGAGCCGAAGGCAGACGCTTAACCATCTGAGCCACCCAGGCGCCCCTCTTAAACGTTTTTAAATGAGATGGGTGATAAACTGCCTAAGGGATTTCTCAAAAGGAATTGCTTTCAAAGAAGGGGATCTTTGGAATATTTCTGAATATTTGAAAATGTAGGGAAATTAATTTGCTTTGAAGTTTAGACACATCTTAAGACATATAACCTGAAAGAATGATTGAATCAGCATATTAACTTACATTGTTCTTTTTTTAAATTTTTTTTTAAAGATTTTATTTATTTGACAGGGATACAGCGAGAAAGGGAACACAAGCAGGGGGAGTGGGAGAGGGAGAAGCAGGCTTCCCACTGAGCAGGGAGCTTGATGCAGGGCTCGATCCCAGGACCCTGGGATCATGACCTGAGCCGAAGGCAGAGGCTTAACAGCGGAGCCATCCAGGTGTCCCTTAATTTACGTTGTTCTTAATCTGATTAGTAAGAATTAAGAATTTCTCTTAATTCTGTTCTGTCCAGCCTAGTTTTAAATGTCTCAGGGTTTCTTCCACTAATTTGTCTGTCTTTTATAAATTTTACATGTACAGAACTTTTTGTGCTGAGTTTTTTATTTCTCCACTTTTACTTTTCAGACTAATTCTCCAGTTCTTTGGTACTTATAAGCTTTTTTCTTTGGAATTTTTTTTTTTTCCCGATTCCCATCCAGCTTATCTCCATATGCTTATTACTAAGCTTTCAAAATGTTTTCTTTCATTTTAATTCACCTGAGGAATTTAATATCTTGGTTTTGAAATGCTCTTGCTGGTGAGTCAAGTTGCATATATGAAAAATAATTTGTCATAGCTTGCTTGAAGCTCATGAGAAGAGAGGAATTACAACTTCAGGGTGTGAGTGGAGCTCCTTGTCTAAAAGGAGACATGGCAGTGATAGGGATGAAATGGTATTTTAACGAATTGCCTTTTTCCCTCTTGTTCCTTTGTTGAATTTTTGAAATGACATTTCCATATTCTGTCTTTGATGTCATATCAGCTCATTTGTTCTCATGACTCTGCATTTTAATACTCCGTATGTTTTGTGTGTGTGTGTGTGTGTGTGTGTGGACTTTCACACTGGAAGATGACACTACTGATAGTGATTGTTGTCTGGGAGGACCTTTTGGGTGAAAAGATTATTTCTGTCCCTTTTACCCTTGTCATTCTAGAAGATATTTGATTTGTGGCATTTTCAAAGACTGACTTCATTTGTAGTTCTCTATTATTCCCTGCTGATTAAATTTTCAGTACTTTCTGTTTTATTCTATTTCTTATAGATTGTAGTGGGACCAGTCTCATTAGGTTGAATCTACAGCCTATGTTGGTGTTAATCCGGGTATCTTAGAGGCAAGTTAAATGTCCATTTTCCTTCAGCAGTTTGAATTGCCTTAACATTATTTGGTCATCATTGTAAAACTCTGAACCCAAACCTATTTTACCCCCTTTAACCCTCCTCTAGGATTTTATGGTGATAAAGTTCTAGGATTTCCATTCATTTTTAATGTCCTGAAAAGTCACATATTTTTAAATATATAAGTAGATTTTCACTCCATAGGCAAGCTTACTTATAGTTAGAGTCCCAATATTTTTTGACCTGATTAGCATTTTTTCATTTTTTATGCTCTCAGGTGACTGAGAAATATGGTAGATTAATTAATTATACAGGAATGCAGAATGATAACTTTTGTTGAATTGCATATATATATATATATATATATTTTTTTTTTTTAAAGTAAGCTCTATGCCCAACTTGGGGCTTGAACTCACGACCCCAAGATCAAGAGTCGTGTGCTGTACCGACTGAGCCAGCCAGGCACCCTGAATTGCTCATAATTTTTTGTATGAGGTTGAGGGAGAAGATGGGGGAGGTTTGAAAAACAAAAGAATATTCCCTTAAGTGGCCACAATTTAAGTTTATAAAAATATTTTCAACCTATTATATACCTACCTACTTCAAGTTATTAAAGTACACAATACTGTATTTTCTTGTTAACCACGGAGTTTCATTAATTACAAAGAACTTTAATTTATACTTGTAATAGGAGATACTCTAGAGCTTGTTCTCTTGAGTTAGGCCCAGAGAAGACTTTATTACAATGTTCTCCCCTCTTTTTCTTCTGCATGCCCTTATAAAAGTAGACTTAAGTGCATAAAGTTGATTGACCTTTAGGACATTATAATTACATGGCTACATTTTTGCAAAAATAAATCACAAGGCAGAAGTGGCTTACGTTGCTTTTTTGCTGTTAATAAAATTATCAACTTTAATTTGTAATGTTTTTTGACTCATAGCAGCATTCAAAGCATTATTTGATTTTAGCTGAGAAACCGCTTGAAGTTACTGTGTTTCAGTCCACTCCTTGTCATTTGAAATATCACCATCTGTGGATTTTTTTTTTTTTTAAGATTTTATTTATTTATTTGACAGAGAGAGACCAAGTAGGCAGAGAGGCAGCCAGAGGGAGAGGGAGAAGCAGGCTCCCCACTGAGCAGGGAGCCCGATGCGGGGCTCGATCCCAGGACCCCCTGGGATCATGACCTGAGCTGAAGGCAGCCGCTTAACCGGCTGAGCCACCCAGGTGCCCCATTCTGTGGATTTTTAAGATGCTGTCTCAGTAGAGTCTTAAAAGAAGTTTGTGATTTTGCATCTGAAAGCACGCCTGGAGATTTGCTCCTTGGGCATTTTGGCAGTGGTTATATTTCTTGGGGTCACTAATTATTTGCATAGGATATATCCTGTATTATTGTGTTGCTGGCTGTCATTTTTCTATGAGGTATGCTTAAAAATTAATACTAAATCCCCGTAATGTGGTTTTGAATGAAAACCCCAAGTAATCACTTTCCTAAACTTTATATTTCCTAAACCCTCATTTGTTAGCTTCGTCTGAATCACTTAGAACTTTTGTTAAAAACATGTATTTTTTAGTCCCACTCCAGAGCTACTGAGAGTGACTCTTTAAATGTTAGGAAAGTGGAAGTTGGTTTATAAGCACACAATGTGATTCTAATATTTTAACCAGGTTAGGAACCATTTCCTGTTAAAACTATTCATGATAAGAAATTATATTTTTAAAGTTGCCTAAGAGATTGATTATTGGGTCAATTATTTTAATACTTTTGTTATTTACAGTGTTAAAAGGACCTGAACAAAGTCTGCTCACACCTCCTGCTGTGAACCAGCAGAACTTTTGAACAGGTGAGTGTTGAAGGGAAGCACAGAGCTGAGGGCTTATGCAAACATAATTTTTGCATTTAAGGTTTCAGGGGTTTTTGTCCTGTTTTTTTCCTGAGGTTATAGATACTTCTCAGGTACTGCTCAGATTTCTTATGAACCATAAGAATAATCATGCCCTGTCTGCATTGATCCTGGTGTGGAATTTGTGTCTTAAACTGTTGTAATGATTTTCTGATGGCGTGAAACAGGAAGAGGAATGCTTTGGGGGCAGGAGTAAGGAGGTATCTTAAAGAACCCGAGGGCTGTTGGCGTTCATGAAGGACATGAACCAGAAACTGGGAAACATTCAGGAGCCAGGACAGTCCAGATAGCACTTACCTCCCTGCTGGCTAGTCAGTGTCCTCTCTTGTCTCTTTTTAGCCTGCTTTAATTGTCTTTTCACAAGCTGTCCTTTTTCTGCTTTAACACATGGGAAGAAAATCACCACTTTATTCCTGGAACCACATATGAACTCAAGCTCTAGTGCCACTAGCCAACTGGTTACTAACTCATTGTCCATGTTTCAAATTCTTGGGAGGGAAGATTTGATTGGTTGAAGTTTGTCCAATTCTCTATCATTGGTCTAGTTAGTATGGCCATAGGGTTGGAGTCTAGAAATACAAACATAATTGAAAGATCCCACTTCCAAGAGTGGATGCAGGTTGAAGAGAAGGTGTAGTGTTGGCTCTTCTAGGCAGAAACCCACAGAACCTTCTGGATGTTTTTCCTTTCCTAGAAAAATTCCCTGTAGATAGGTTGGCAGTTTCAGTTTATATGTCCTGAAGAGTTAAAATATATGCATATCTTTTGGTCAGTGAGGCCCAGTAGGTCTCATAGAGCATCCTTGTTTGAACTTCCTAGTGCAATGTTGTTTTTTTTTTTTAAAGATTTTATTTATTTGACAAAGAGAGAGGGAACACAAGCGGGGGGAGCGGGAGAGGGAGAAGCAGGCCTCCCACAGAGCAGGGAGCCCAATGCGGGGCTCGATCCCAGGACCCTGGGATCATGACCTGGGCCGAAGGCAGACGCTTAACGACTGAGCCACCCAGGCGCCCCTTCCTAGTGCAATGTTTTAACAAAAGTTCTTGATTAAGGGGGTTCAGAGGAGTGTTTGCGAAAAAGGTTTAGCAAATGAACATAAGCAAGTGAGAGGCTTGGTTTGTGGAAAAATTCATTGGTTATTTATTTTTCATTGATTGCTTTTATAAATTTTAATTTCTGGGTACTTTTTATAGTATTAAGCACCCTTGAGTATTAGGACGCCATGGAGAATTTGAAGAGTGGGACTTGCTGTATGTGAACATATATTCACATTATTTGAATGGTAGCAGGGATTTTTCACTGTTGAGAAAGAATCAGTGAGATAGAGTATAAACTTTTGTATTGACATGTTTTTGTATTCTAGAATTATTAGGTAATACTGAAGCAAGCTTTTTTTTAATGGAGCGTTTTGAAGCCCTGTTTATTTTTGTTTATAGCTTGTATATACTTGGTGACATCTAATTACTTCATTTTTTAATGACTTAAATCTTGTTGGTATATTAGTGTATTGAGATTTTTGATGCAAAGCTTAGGGATTACTAATAAAAGTTATGTATTGTAGAGTGATGTATCCAATGACAGGCCACAGATGAGACTTCCTATGATACTTTTTTTAAGCCAGGGTTTCTTCAGCAGATTGCAGCTGAATTCATTTTTAAGGTAGAATAGTCTTCTCATATTGTATGTTTTCTTTAATCTGGATTTTGAGGTAAGGTGTATTCAGGCTTATTGAGTTAAGGCTTTGTGAGGTTTAAAAAGATTTCCACATAATCTGTATAAAACTTCCACAGGCTTTGGGGATCCCTCTCTGGAAAACATTGGCTTGTGATGAGATTATCAAATGACATGGTAATGTTTATGGAATTGTAATTTTTCCTAGAATAGGTTACTGGTTGCTAATTTTGTTCTTTAACCAAAAGGGAGAAAACTAGAAATGTTTACATATTGTTCAGAAGCTGTGGGGGGAATGACAGTTATAGCTTTTCTTCTTATAGTGATATTGTGGCCAATATGTTCTTTGGGAACAAAGCTCCTTTTCAAGTTGTCCTGGGCCTGGAGGAAGTCTTGGGAACTCTGGTCTCTTCCGTATTGGTTTTTTGGTTGCAGTTAGTGACAAGAATTGGCACCTTCTAATTGGTAAATCATGGCTCAGGCATTGAAGGCATGGTCATATGCAGGGGCTCTCATGATTAGCTCCTTGAGGATTGAGGTGATATCGCCCACACCATGGTCAATTGAGGGACTGGATATGAAACCATCCTGTAAGATCAGTGGGTCAGAGAGCCTTAATTTATCTTTTGCAACCTGACACTCTTCTTTAGTCTTTTAAACTATTTCTACCGTTTTTTTTTTAAGATTTTATTTATTTATTTGACAGAGAGAGGAGAGAGCCCGCACAAGCAGGGGGAGTGGCAGGCAGAAGGGAAGCTGGCTCCCTGCTGAGCAGGAAGCCTGATGCGGGACTCAATCCCAGGACTCTGGTGGGATCATGACTTGAAGGCGGACACTTAACCACTGAGCCACCCAGGTGTCCCTCCACTATTGTTAATGAAGTTTCTGGTAGTGTGTTGGGAGAATCTATTCTCTTCCCTACCCAGAGGGCTTACTGTATTGCTTAACTGAGTGATGCAGAGGGGTAGATACAGTTGAAGGATAGTGGAACAGAGTGGGAGATTGGGAAAAGGAGAAAAAGTGACTTCCACAAAATGAATTCCTCTGAAACTTGCAAGGAATTGGAGAAAAAAGAAAAAGGTAATCAAGCAGTATTGAGCACTGTATCATTATGTAGTGAAAAGTTTGTGGCTTTTTAAAGCAGTGAAATGGGGACGCCTGGGTGGCTCAGTCGGTTAAGTGTCTGCCTTTGGCTCAGGTCACGATCCCAGGATCCTGGGATCGAGCCCTGTGTCGGGCTCCCTGCTCATTGGGAAGCCTGCTTCTCCCTCTCCCACTCCCCCTGCTTGTGTTCCCTCTCTCGCCGTCTCTGTCAAATAAATAAAATCTTTAAAAAAAAAAAAAAAAGGCAGTGAAATGTAGGTTTTAATTTTCTGTTAATAACCTTAGGTAAATAAGTTAACCTCTTGTAGTCTTATTTCCCTTACCTGTAAAGTATATCCCACAGTGGTTGTGGGAATTAAAAATCTAAAATGCCCTGTGTAATGCCTGGCACCCAGGAAATGGGCTCTCAATAGATGGTAGCTTTTATTATTGTTATTGCTATGTAAATAGGTGCATTTTGATTATAAAATTTCATCCTTATAATCTGAATAGAGACATCAGTGAGTTTTCTTTGTAAGTCTTTTTTGTTTTGTTCTCAAGCCAATCAATATTTAAATAGCTGCTTTGTGATGAGTCCTGGGCTAGCCATAGTGGTGAGCAAAAAACACAAGGACCTATCTTCATGGGGCTTATAGCCTAGTGGCAGAGTCAATCAAAAAATCATATAAGTAAATTTCAAAATGTGAAAAGTCTCTCTGTCCTTGGAAAAGATACATTTTTAAGACCTAGATACTTTTTAAGTTAAGTGTTGCATTTTGGATCTTGGTGTTCTTGTTGTCAGTGATATTTTATGCCTCTTGATAATGCTTTTCAGGGTATGTATGTTTGTTCTAAGTTAATTTATGTATTTCTTTTGTTTGTCATTTTTTTCTTTTTCTCTGAGATAGACATTCTCAACTTTTTGATCTTAGGACTCCTTTCTTCTTTTAAAAGTTAAGAGGACTCCAAAGAGCTTTTGATTTTAGTTCCGCGTGTTTGTATTATATTGAAAAATTTAAAATGATTTCTTCATTTAAAAATAACGATAATCTGATTACATGTTTTTTTTTTTTTTAAAGATTTTATTTATTTATTTGAGAGAGAGAATGAGATAGAGAAAGCATGAGAGGGGGGAGGGTCAGAGGGAGAAGCAGACTCC